TACACCCCCCCTCTGTTTTATTTCACCCGCCGACGTCGCCCCTCCCCGTGACGGCGCCCCTCCCCGCGCCCCACCCCGCCCCATCCTGCTCCGGGATCCGAAGGCTTCCAGGTCCGAAGACTCCAGGATTAGAGGACTTCGAATTTCAGGATTCCGGGTGCGAGAACGTCGAATTTCAAAGATTTCGAAGTTTAAAGATCCCAGTGCACAAAGATTTCGAAATTGGAGAGACTGTGAATTTCAAAGTTCCGAGACTAGAAGTTTCACACTTCCGGAGTTTCCTGAATTTGAAAATTTTCAAACCCTGGAGACCCTGAAGTGTAAAGGCTTCTAACTCGAAGTCTTTGAACTCCACAGACTTACCAATTCCGAAGTCTTGGTGCCCCAAGATTTTCGAACTTCGAATCCTTAAAGTTGGAAGCCCTCGTACCTGAAGATCCTGAAATCCGATGTCTTCCAATCCTGGAGCCTTAGGACCCAGAAGTCTTCGAATCCCGGAGCCCGCCGATCGGATCCCTCGATGTCCTGGTGGTCCTGATGTCCATCTGCGATCCTGGGATGAATTAGAAGGTGGAGAGTTCTGGCTGGCTACGATGTCCGGCCTTCATTACTGGAAAGAAAGAAATGATTTAAATATAATTGAAAGTAAGAAGAATTTTAAAGTATGTAAAAGAAAATTTAAAATCTAAATGTAGATAAAGTAAATCAAAAGAAATAAAGTTTTAAGAAAAATTCTTTAAGTAATAAAAGTAAAGTAAATTAAATACAAATAAATTACATTTAAAACAATAAAATTTACCGAAAAGTCATAAAGTAAAAGATCTGAATAAGACAACTATTTTAAACTGTAACATTAAATAAAGTTGAAGTAAATTAAAGGAAATAAAGTTTTAAGAAAACGTCTAAGTTAATAAAAGAAAAGTAAATTAAACTGAATCACGAGAAAAACTCATACTACATCATAAATGGAAACAAAAGATCAGAAAATGATAAAGCTACAAATAAAGTTAAAGTAATGAAAAAGGTTAAGTAAAAATAAATAAAATACAAAAAATGTAAAAGAAGTAAAGTAAAAACAAAACAAAGTCCTGGTAGTCCTGATGATTCCTGCTGGACTTCATGTCTTGCTTAACTCCTTATCTCTATTGAAAATAATGAAATATTATAAATAGTTTTGAAAACAATTAAATTGATAATGCTTAGATTTCGATGACGTTATTTAATAAAGGAAAAGTTTTGATAAAGAATTTCAAAGTAAATAAAAACAGAAAAACTTATAAATAATGTTATTGTAAAGTAAAAGTTTATGTAAAAAGAAAGAAAAGATAAAAAACGTGTAAGGAATGAACCAAAAACGAATTACTCGAAAATAAAGAAAAGAAAAGCAAAAATACAATAAGTGAATAAATCTTACATGTCCTTGGTGTTCCTTTTGCATTGTCTGAGCTTAAATTAGTCCACATCTCTCTTTTAGAAGTTCTGATGATTCCTACTGGACTTCATGTCTTGCTTAACTCCATATCTCTATTAAAAATAATGAAAGATTAGAAACAGTTTTGAAAACAATTAAATTGATAATGCTTAGGTTTCGATGACGTTATTTAATAAAGGAAAAGTTTTGATAAAGAATTTCAAAGTAAATAAAAACAGAAAAACTTATAAATAATGTTATTGTAAAGTAAAAGTTTATGTAAAAAGAAAGAAAAGATAAAAAACGTGTAAGGAATGAACCAAAAACGAATTACTCGAAAATAAAGAAAAGAAAAGCAAAAATACAATAAGTGAATAAATCTTACATGTCCTTGGTGTTCCTTTTGCATTGTCTGAGCTTAAATTAGTCCACATCTCTCTTTTAGNGTAAAGTAATTAGTAATCCAAATTGTTTATATTTAGCAGAGAAGAAAGTTAGATAAAAATATATATAAAAAATTATAACAATTAAGAAATGTAACTTTTATAATTCAATAAGACATTTTGAAATATGTCATTTTTAATAACTGACTTACAATACTGAACAAAATGGAAAAACCACCATCAAACAGAGTTTCTGGAAGATCCAGTGTGACAATTTTACCTCCTCGTGAAAATCTTTCATATGATTCCGTACAATTGGTAGGATTTGAAATTAAGGTACGTAAACTGATTATTTTTCAAAATGAACAAAACTGCAATTGAGGAAGAACAACATAAACACGCGACCCTACAAGACGGTACAATAGTGCGTTGAAACAAGTAATATTTACATTTTTAATTTACGAAAACCACGTAAGTTTTCGACATGTTCAACAATCAGTTTGAATGTTATAAAAGATGAAAAATACATAAAAAGGTATGTAGAATTTAGTGGTGATAACAGTTTTTTAGTGCGTGCTGAAATAAGTAAGATTTAATTGTTTAATTGACGAAAACTGCATAAAAATTCAAAACATGAAAACGCGCACGTAAATTTTCAACATGTTCAACAATCAGTTTGAATGTTATAAAAGATGAAAAATACATAAAAAGGTATGTAGAATTTAGTGGTGATAACAGTTTTTTAGTGCGTGCTGAAATAAGTAAGATTTAATTGTTTAATTGACGAAAACTGCATAAAAATTCAAAACAAAAACGCGCACGTAAATATTCAACATGTTCAACAATCAGTTTGTATGTTATAAAAGATGAAAAATACATAAAATTGTATGTAGAATTTAGTGGTGATAACAGTTTTTTAGTGCGTATGGAAATAAGTAATGTTTAAACGTTTAATTGACGAAAATTGCATTCTGAAGCGTTTTGAAGGACCTGAAATTTAAAAATGTAATTTTAAGATTATTATAATGCTTACCGTGATATTCAGGATTGTGGATTTCGACTGCCTCTGCTGCTGACGGTTCAAAATTCTATCAATTTTGTAGACAAGCTTCCTGAAACAAAATAATCTTTTATTAGCCTATCAGATATTTCGGTATATTTCTCAAAAAGAATCTTCTATTAGGGTATCAGATACTTCGGGATATTTCTCTTGTAAATGACCACAGAGAGCGAAATTACCTCTATGTTTCCGAGTAAAACTTAGGGAGGCATTTTGAGTTTTTGGTTTTATGTTTGTTTTACTTATTAATTTTAATAAGAAATCAAATTATTAATATACAATTTGTCGGATACATTTTATTAGAAAATTATTTTAGGAAATTGAGAGAAATCAACTGAAATCAAGGAAACAATTTGTTATAACATCATTGTCGTTTTGTTTAAGTTTATCCAATTTGTCTAGATTTCCAAAAGTTGCATGGCTTTACGGACAAGGTAAAGAAAGAATTTTATTTACACTAAAAACTTTTGGAAAAACTTATTTTTTTTGTCATACAAGATCTTGTTTTTGTTTGTCTCAATTATCTTTTCAAAATATTCTAGTATTTTTATGGTGTACTACCCCTTCTAATTATTGAAAAAAATAATATTTTCAGGATCGTTCGTGCTCCTATATTTGGTATTTACTTTTCTAATAGGAAGCGTTATGTTCTTTTTCGAGGTAGCACTGGGACAGTTTTCCAATTTGGGATCATTT